GCGAGGGGGAAGGCTCTTGCAGGAGCCCAGCGGGGAGATGACAGTGGTAACAGCCGCTCCAGGGAGAAGTGCTGAAGTTCACGCCTTGCTCAAAGTCCCCAGCCTCTTGGGGGCGCCACAGTGTTCAGCGGTCCTACTGTGTCCTTGATCGACTCATTTTCCACAAAGGTTATCTTAAAACTTTCCCACTGTCTTAACACTTGGGAACCCTTCTTCTCTCCAAACCAACCGCCTGACTTCCTGCTTCACAAAGAACACGGGAGACATCAAAGGAAATACCCTCATCTTCCAGAAGGCAAGCACACAAGCCTCGGTACATCCGCATCCGTCCTCTTTCTTTCTGCTGTAACTAGAGGTCGGCCCCTTTTGCTACTGTGGCCTCTCCCTCTGGCTGGGCTTTGCAGCCTTCCTCACTCTACACGCCTTTCCCAGGCAATCGTCTGCTGACATGTCAATAACCACCTGGAAGTACACAAGTTCAAGCATTTCTATATTTGGCTTAGAATTCTCCACACTCAGGACCCAAATATTCCACTGCCTACGCGATAGCAACTAGATGTCTCAAATGCACCTCAAACTCAAAGCATTTACACCTGAATTCATGCTCGTTTCCCCTGCACCCCCCTCCGTAAAAGTGATCATCTTCCAGGGCCCTTGTTCAGGGAATGGTATCATCATTCATCCAGCTATGCCACCAAAAACCTTGACATTTACCTTTTCCCTCTACCATCCAACCCAACATCAAGCCCTGTCAATCCTACCTCTTAAACATGTCTTCAAAAATACCCCTCTCTCGGGCTTCCCTGGTGGCACAGTGGTTGAGAGTCGCCTGCCGATGCAGGGGACACAGGTTCGTGCTCCGGTCCGGGAAGATCCCACATGCCGCGGAGCGGCTGGGCCCGTGAGCCATGGCCGCTGAGCCTGCGCGTCCGGAGCCTGTGCTCCGCAACGGGAGAGGCCACAACAGTGAGAGGCCCGCGTACCGCAAAAAAAAAAAAAATACCCCTCTCTCGAGGAGGGCAGTTGGGGGGAGGGCGCAAAATGGATGAAGGGAGTCAAGAGGTACAAACTTCCAGTTATGAAATAAATACGTCATGGGATGTAATGTACAGTGTGGTCACTATAGTCAATATTGTATTTCAAATTTGAAAGTTGCCAAGAGAATCTTAAAAGTTCTCATCACAAGAAAAAAAAGTTTTTTGTCACTCTGTATGGTGACAGATGGTAACTAGACTTACTGTGTACATTTTGAGGTATAAACAGGTAATCATTATGTTGTACATCTGATACTAACATAATGTGTTATGTCAATTATACTTTGGGGAAAAAAACAGATTGTGGGTTTTAGTGACAGTTCGGTATTAAATGTGGGATCAGAATCAATGGCAATTTTTTGAGACTTATTCAACTCAAAATTTGATAAAAGCATTCCTCCTTTGTGAAAAATAATAATCTTACCCTACCCCTCTTTTTCCCTCTCTCTCCACCACCCTTCAAGTCCCAACAGTTCTGACCCGGGGGTAATGCAATAGCCTAACTGGTCTACCCTATTCTCTGGCACCCCCTGCAGGGGAACTTTTTAAATTGCAAATCTGATCCTGACTCACACTCTTGCTTAAAATTTTTGAGTTTTGGGTAAGGACCAAACGTGGCTGAGGTCCTGTGGCTCTGGTTCCAGCTTCATCTCACACACACTCCAGTGCAGGTCTCTTAGCTCAAACCCCTCAGATATTCTTCAGCCTTTGTGCCGCCCACGCTTCCTCCTGCGGCTTGGCCCTGCACACCTCATTCCCTTGGCTTGGAGGGTCTCCCTCCCGTGTTTGCATAAAGGCCTCAGATCTCAGACGAAGCCTTAGTTCATCACAAATGCCTTTGTCTTGGGACTTCCCTGGTGGCGCAGCGGTTAAGTATCCGCCTGCCAATGCCGAGGACATGGGTTCGAGCCCTGGTCCAGGAAGAGCACACTTACCGCGTAGCAGTTATAAACCCGTGTGCCACAACTACTAAGCCTGGCTCTAGAGCCCACAAGCCACTACTACCGGGCC